GGGGAGTTTTTCCCGAGCCTATAAGAAAAAATTTCCAGAAGGCCGCCGACGGCGCCATTAAGGCCGCCGACCACGGGATTGACGGTAATGTGTACTTGTACAATGGATAAGGCCAGATTTTGGAGGGGTGCATAAGCAACTCTTGGGAAAACTCATCCACATCTTTAAAGAGAAGGTTTTGGCCGAAAATAGAAGAGTCCTGGAGGTTAGATAGGTTCTATTAGTATGTAGAGAGCATGTTAGAGCGTGTAATTGTGAGGAATTCTTCGAGAAATGGTAAGAGTGGAGGGAAAATGAGAGATTTCTTCCTCATTGCTACTTCGAAGAGGAATTCTGTGTGCTGTAAAGAAAGGAAGAGATTCAGAGGAACTTCAAGGAGTATTCTTGGGGAGAAAGCTAGAGATAAGTTATTTACTTATTTAGTTTGTATGGTTTTGATTTTATATATGAATTTCGAGTTTTATTGTGCTTTCCCCATGAGTTTTGAGTAGTTTTCTCTGTCTTTCTTTTTGTCTCAAGATTTGTGAAATGGTGATTTGAATTGGTGAAGCCATGAAAATATTTAGGAAATTGTGATGATCTCTTAACTTCAATCTGACCAACTGATTTGTTAAAATATATTGAGTTTTACAACTGAAGTGAAGATTACATCCAAGATTTAGGGAGGTCAAAGCCCTTGGAAGTTGGGTGCAAATAAATAGGGAAATATTACTATGAAACGTAGAATTGGAGATTTTAGAGTGACAGACTAAAATCCCCAATTCAGTCCTATCGTTTAGGTGTTGATGTGTAGATGTCAGCCCTTAGGTGAGGAGAACGTGGGAGCTCTAAAGTGAGAGCCGGTATCCTCATAGCCTAGCCGCAGAATCAGTAACCAAGCATAGAATTAGTCAATGTTCTTTATGCCTGGACCAAAGGGTAAAGAATAGGTATGCTCCTATTTGACACAATATAAATTGAACTAATTCATTTTATCCATTCACTATAATTTCTTGGCAAGGAGAATGATGTTTTCTTATATATTGAATATCACAAATTAAACCCTACTTTCTATAATTAATTATTTATTAGTTATCCAAATTATCTACTTATTTCAATTGCCTATTAGTAACAGATAAGCAAATTGAATGTCATCATTGTAGTTGAAGTATTACTTTTTATTAAATCTTAGTCCGTAGTATTCTATTTCTCCCTGTGGGATCGATAAAATCTTAGTTCGCAGTTCTAAACCACTCCCTATGGGATCGATATCTAGGACTCTATTAGAGCCCTATATTGCTTGAGCGATACGTATACTTGCGTTGATAAGTGTGACTTTACAGTTATTGAATATTTATCACGTCCATATTTATCTTGTATTTTTAGCATAAATAAAGTCGCGGGTCAAGTTTTTGGCGCAGTTGCCAGGGATTTAAATCTTCAAGTAGTGGTGTCAACTTCTTAAATCTTTACATAAGAAAAAAATCGGTCAAGTTTTTGGCGCCGTTGCCGGGGAGAATTTTAAGAGTAACAAACATATTAGAATTATTAAAAAGTTTTTACTTAAATTGCAACTTATCTATATATTTATATATTTATATTTTTAATTACTAAGTACTAATTTTAAATTGTATGCGCAAATTTGGACCTCAAAATCTTATACCATACGATTCAAAATTAGAACAAACTGTTAGAAAAATTATAAAATCAAAAAGAAAACCTAGAAACTGTGATACAATGGAAAACATTATGAATTAACACCAACCTAGACCCTTAAGAGATTATGCAAATCCTACAGCATATGAAATTCACTTATCTATCCAAAATCCTGATGTGACTGCTAATTCATTTGAGCTTAAACCTGCTATTATCCAAATGGTACAAAACAATCAATTTGGAGGTACACCAAATGAAGATCCTAACTTACACCTCGCTAGTTTTTTAGAACTATGTGCTACTTTTAAATATGATAGAGTCTCAAACGATGCTATTAGACTTAGACTTTTTCCTTTTTCACTGAGGGATAAGGCTAATATGTGGTTAAACTCGTTAGCACCTGGATCTTTTAGAACTTGGGGAGAACTGTTACAGAAATTTCTATCCAAATATTTCCCTCCATCTAAGATTGTTAAACTAAGAAATGACATAACATCATTTTGTCAGATTGATGGAGAGTCAATATATGAAGCTTGGGAGAGATTTAAAGATCTTCTTAGGAAATGTCCTCATCATTCGTTACCAGACTGGTTAATAAT